ATCTGTGATCGGATGCCCTCTGGTCTCAGTGCAGGAGGCGGGAACCAAAAGGATCCTTACTAAAATAACATCTCTGTTAGATAATGTCTCCCACACCATGGAAGAAGCTGTTGCAGAACTGGAGAGCTCCTTCAGTGACACACTGCTGCACCCTACATGCTGCAGGAAGCGTTATCACAGATCCTTCCTCCCAGCAGCTATAAAACAGTACAGTATTTTTATGTGTTTATTTTTTTTACTCCTCATTATTATGTTTTTTTTTTAACACTTTTAAGTGATCTACATTTGTTTCCTGTTGTAACAACAGAATTTCCTCACTCTATTCTATTCCATATATAGGTATATATACATATATTTACATATATATGTATACATATATATAAATGATTGCACCCTCGTCATCAGCCACCTCAGACTACAGTTTTAGATGGATTGACTGGCTTTAAGACAATGTGTCAATTTATTTTTTTAAGCTGTCAGATTAGATTCAATGTAAGACTCAAATTAAGATTATGAGTCCCATTAATTTTCGCAAAGTAAATGGGTAGTATTGGCAACCAGTCATGCTTTGGGGGGAAAATGCAGAGGCAACAACTCAACTGAAACATTTCAAACATTAATGAATGAATGAATAAGCAGAAGAAGAAATATTGTACTGGTTTTATTATAGTACAGTCTGAAAGGGAAATAGAACTAACTGCAGTATGCAAAGCTACTTTTATTACAGTCTATGTAATTATAAAATGTATTTCAGCACTGTTAATTATACTGCTTTGTAAGCATGATGTTGGTAAAGGCGTGTAAAACGGCCAAAACAAGGAGCTATTTTATCATATTTTTACTTATTAGCATGTGCATATTTGCTTGATTTAGCGATGTATACTGTAGTGAAGCTTGACAGAACTTTATTTACAATTACCTGTTAATTTTCACTCCACTAGGTGGCGCCACGGTGCAGCGATATAACCAATGTGGAAACCTAATAACTTTTATTAAAAATGGTTCAGAGACAGCCACTCATCTCTCCAATACACACGTATTTGAACCAGTTTCATCAGGTTCAGAAACGAAGAAAAAGAAGTCAGCGTCATATTTCAAACATAAATCCGTGTTTTTTAAACATTTTATTTCCCACAGCACCTAAAAGCACCATGAGACTTCTCCTGCGGTCCCTGTCACGGGGTCAGTGACATCATCTGCAACGCTTACGTGACGCAGAGATCTCAAACACATGTTAAATGTTACCGGCTTTTTTGAGCTTGATCTCCATCATCGCGCTACGAACAAATACTTTCATCCTCCGAGTTAGCGGATTGAAACCTGAACGCGGCGCCGCACCTTTCAGGATCCGATTGAGGCTGTTGGAGCTAGTTAGCGTCGTTAGCATAGCTGATTAACTGTCACCATTTCTGTTTAGTGACGGATCAACTCGAACCAGATTGATCGATATAGTTTGTTAGGATAAGCTAACCATACACACAAACTGGTACTTGGACTTCACAATCAGTAGAGACTAGTCATCAGTGTGTTAGCCTCTGGAAGCACTCTGGCTTTGGAACCAGGCTCACTTCCTTGTGCCGTGTTCGAGGTCATTCTGTAGCCCCGACTAAAGCAGCTGCTCTCGGGTATAAGCCATGAAGAGTCTGCCGTACTTCTGCCGAGGAGAGGTTATTCGAGGATTCGGAAGAGGAAGTAAAGAACTCGGAATTCCCACTGGTGAGACACGAAATTAACCCTAGTCCTTTCTGAGGTTGACAGTTAGCTAACCTGATACATGTAATTGTCTACGTAAATAACGTAAAGCGTGTGTTGCCATTTTTCTTTCTGATTTCCAATACAACGTGAAGGGTGCACATCCTAACGGAATAAATCAATGTATTTAGTAATTTATAAATAACACATGCAGCTTAGTAAATCGTTATTAGCAAAAAGCGGTACATATATATTTACGTTTTTTTTTTTTTTTTTTTTTTTTGTACGTAGAAACAAGTGTGTTGCGTAACTCTATTCGCTTAAAGTGCTGCTTTACTCTCTGTCCAAACACAGCAATTATGTTTCATGTAACCTAAAACGGTGAAAGACCCGGAACCAATGTTCGGCTAATTAAATAATTCAGCATGTTTTATAGCGTCATTTAGCTGTTGACAGTTTCCAGAAAAACATAGATAGGGTAATAATTAGACCACCTGTCCCCGATTTTACCGTTTATGAATGAAGGGGAAAAGGTTGCATATATACAGTTATTACGGTAGAAAGAGCGCGCGCTGTTAACGCATAAACGAGGAACAGAACGCACTAGTTTTAATTAGTTTAGTTCCTCGGAGCTCGAGGAAAGCATGTGTAATATTATTATTCAATTCATAGGAGCAAAACGTGCGAAAATTAACGCTTAATTTAATATGACATATTCAAAAAAGCTTCTGCCCAAATATTTTCTTTTTGTTATGGATTTTTGTAACAGGGATAACTAGGATCATATCATCTTTAAATTTACATCCTATCAAAAATAATAACAGCTTATTTAAAAAAAGAAAAAAAAAGCAGAGCTGTATCTGTGAATAGAAAAAAGGATTGTGAAAATATATCCCTGTTCACTATAACTTTATTAAAGGACAGATTTATTTTTATGCTGGCCCTGAGAGCTTATTTTTCATTCATCTATACAGGTAATGAGAAAACATGTATTTTTGTTGTGGCTGCTTCAAGCTGCTCATGAGAATGATCCAGATTTATAGATGTTTTAATTGTTGTAATTTAATCTGAATATAACAATCGAACATCACTTTTTTAATAGTGACACAGATTTAAATCCAGGCTGCTAGAGGCTACCCCATCCAGCTGTCCAGGATACAGTAGAAACAGCTGGAGGCCATTTCATTTTATAGTTATCATTATGTTGGGAAAAAATATATGTTTTTCAATTTGTGTGTATATATATATATATAAGTTTCATTAAAATTTTTTGTAATGAAAAAATTCCCACAGACTGTATTAATGCAAACTTTCCTGTCTCTGAACACAATGTTCTGTTGCTCACAAGGGAAGAAGACAGAGAACACTGAATGTCACTAATAAACACTATTGATTGATTAATATTATTTATCTTAAGAAATGGAACATTCCTGGATTTCACACTTGATTTATCATTATTATGATTTATTTAATGTTATATTTAAATATAAACAAATATGTAAAAATTGACGAAAACATCACCATCCCCGTTTCCTATTTTAATTTTCATAAAATATATTTATTTTTATCTATGAGCTGGAAATGTCCCCAGATTAGAGTGAAGAACTCTGGTCACCTTATAGATAATGCTCTTCATGATCATTGTATAAGTTTAACTTTTTTTCTTTTTCTAACAATAGTTATTTTTCTCCTCTGTGATACGTTTTAATTTTTTTCTTCATACCAGTTAGCTCTCTGTAGGACTGCCCTAGTCTCTGAAAACAGGAACAAATTAATCTTTACACATTAAAACATTTACAGGATTTAACATAAGTTCCCAAATATCGAACAATAATTATAGGATGCAGAGGCTTTAGCTTTGAACACAAAAGAAGTTGGAAACATCAAGTTGTATATTTCCCAAGGTATTTAAGGCTATTTTTGTTGTTGTTAAAGGCATATATTACTACATGATGTTCGGGATATTTGAGGGCTGTTTTCACAAAACCAATTTAGCAGATAAAGCAGGGATTTTACAGATATTCTGGTAAAGATAAGCGTCAGTTTAACCAAAGCGGTAACACGCAAGTTATTCAGGGCAGCCAGCTTCTCCAGATAAATCCTGGTGCCCTATTTACTCAGTTAACTTCACACCGATCAAACGTTGATGACTCTTGTCAGTGATTCAGTTTTCTCATTATTGCATACAGCCATAAAGTCAGGCTATAAAAGTTGGTTCAAAAACATGTAACCACTGAATGTTAAATTGCTTAGTAACAAAAATGAGCAGAAGAAGAGAGGCATGCCTTGACAGTTGCAATTTATTTTTCTTGAGCTCAGTTTTCACTTGTCTCATTTTCCATAATGTAGGAGAATATCTTTGTAAAGCACGCTTTTTATCACTGCTGGGTCACAATAGATCTAAAGCAAACCAAATAACACAGACTTGCAAACAGCATCTTTTCTAGATTAACTCTGGTTTTAATTAGAAATATACTTGTTCCCCTGCAGAAACGCCTAAATTCAACCTTTTTATAAGCCACATTGTTAATCTGCTTGCTTACCTCTGCCTTTTATTTTGTTTTTATTCCTCTTCCCTCCCTCTGTCCCTTCTCTCGTATCTCCAGCCAACTTCCCAGATTCGGTGGTGGACAATCTTCCAGCAGATATTAGCACAGGAATCTATTATGGCTGGGCTTGTGTCGGGAATGGCGATGTTTACAAAATGGTGATGAGCATCGGCTGGAACCCTTACTACAAAAATACAAAAAAATCCATGGTAGGAAGAACTTTGGTTGGCTTTTATCCAAGACGTTAAGATCATAAAGAAACCACCCTCACTTTAAAACCGTTTTGCAGTTGCTAGATGGAATGTGGTATTTCTTCTTTTTTAAACTGATGGCGTTCCAGTGGTCATTAGACATATCTCCATCCATAGTTGTATAACTCACTTCTCCGTTCCATTCCATTTAGAACAGTATTTCTCAGAGTAAACCAAATGGAAAAAAAAAAAAAAAAAAAAAATATATATATACATATATATATATATATATATATATATATATATTTATATGTGTGTGTGTGTGTGTGTATATATGTTGCCTTTAAAAACTGTTTTAATTAGAAAACAGCTTTTTAAGTTTAGCTTTATTCTGCATCAAAACAAAGATAATAATAAATATTGATACATGAAAAACTTAGGCTAGAGGACAGTTAGTAAAGTTTATTTTCTTTATTTATTTATTTTTCTGGGAGAGATTAAGCGACTAATAAAAATGTCTAGGTTTTATTTATTTTCACAGAAGCATTCAGCAGGACTGATGCATTACAAAATAAATGTTCCTTAAAAAGATGGAGGAGTAGGTGCAAAGCTGACTGTAACAATGGGGATAAAGGCCTACTGTAGATCTCATCGGTTACATGGATAAAAAATATATCAGAAAAGCATGCAGGGAAGAGGTCATTGTGCACTTAAGGTGGTGTCAAATATTTTACGGTGGCCAAAATCATGAAAAGCTACCCATAAGTACTGAAGATTCTGTGGTTTGTCTTTGTAATTTGAGATAATCCTCATGTTAGGAGGGTTTTCCTTCATAAGGCTGACAAAGTGCACCAAGGAGAGGGACTAGGTTTCTGTTTGTACGATGGGTTTCCCAAGAACCTTCTTGCTAAGATTTTTATGCTTGTTTAATGGGCAACCAAAAAACTGCTAAGATCAGTTTTGCATTAAAATATCAATGAGGGGATAAGAAACTAAAAACGGGACAAGAAAAGAAACTAAAAACTTGGGTATGCACATTCTTGTTTATTTAGATGCCTTTTTCTTTTTTATTACATTGAAAAGAATAGGCTTTATTGCCAAGTAGTGTTTTTTTTTTGGCCTCTAGTTTGTTATTCCCACTAACCACACAGAGAAGGCATTGCAGTCTCAGAGAGCACTTCCCTAAACAGCTTTACACAATGAAGTAGTTCCATAGATTTTGTCACCAAAATGTTTTATATTTTTTTGGATTCTAGGAGACGCACATCATTCATAAGTTTAAAGAAGACTTCTATGGAGAGATGCTGAGTGTGGTTATGGTGGGCTACATCCGCTCAGAGAAGAGCTATCCCTCACTTGGTACGCTTATCTGACTCAGAGGTTTTCTTTAGACATTTTTACTCTAGTTATGTAGAAGAATCCAAATAATTCAACTCCCTTTTTTCTTCTGCTGCCTTTTCACCGGTGCCATCAGAGGACCTAATTGCAGCCATCAACAGTGACATTGAGCAGGCCAAGGTTATGCTGGATCTCCCAGAGAACAGCAAACTGAAAGAGGACAACTTCTTCACCAGCACCTCCAACTCGTCTCCGGTCTCTCCATCATCAGCCGCATCCACGTCTCAGAGCATCATCAACGGTCACTGACAGCTGGCAGAGATGGCAGCGCTTTGTGCTCTGAGCCAATGAGCACACTTCTTTTGTTTTTTTTGTGTTCAGATTTCTAGCCTTAATATAAAATCTGTCAGCTGACATGAACAGTTAACTTCTGTCTTTTTTTTCTCTTTTGTTTTTATATTTGGTTGTGTTAGGGCTGTTTACTGGCCTCTGTGCTTTAACTGGACACAGCCTGTTAGACTATATTCACAGCACATTATCTGGATCTTCTGTACATTTTCAAACATTTAAAGGAGAGGTCAGAGAAAAATCACTCTTCGAAGAAAACCGTTTTCCAAATGTGAGCTAACGTCACGTACCCAAGTCAACATCACTGCATTAGTATTCATAAAATGAGACATTGTTAGATAATATTGCTACTATAACTTGATTATCTTTATCAAAACTAAGTGATAAACTTGAGTAACCTTAAAGTTGTTTAAGTTCCTGCTGCTTATTCCTTAATCCGTCTGCAGTAGTCTGTCAGAGGTTGGATTATTGCTGCGCTATCTGACTTAAATCCTACATTTGATCAGATGTGGTTTTAAAAGCAGAACAGTTACTTATTTATACAAGAGTACTACAGCCAACTACAGTGTAATTTGGGTAATAAACTCCATAATAAAAATGTGTTTTATCAGTAATTCTAAGAAATTTTAGCTAATTTCCTTGAAAGGTTTGAATGTCTTGAACTTTGACACAAAGGTTTCGGTCCTATCAGCCAAGCTGATTAAATCAGATGATATGAAAAACACTAAGCTTGAATGACCAAGCACTTTTTTCTACTTCTTATAGTAAAACCTGATTAGAAGAGAGTGAGGAAAATAAACCTCAATGTATCTATCTTGTGTGTATATACAGAAAAAAGCCTTTGAAGTTTATGAACATATATTTTTTTTTACATTATTGTATGCAAAAGTTTAAGACAGATGAGCTATTGCCCAATTAGAATTATTCCAGTTTTATTCTGGTATTTTCACTGATGAACTTAAAACCCCTGAAGGAGGAATTGCTTTTCTTCTGTTTATTTTAAATCTGAGATTACAGGAAACTGAGGATAAAGTGATTTTGTATTCTCTGTGAAGCCTGTTGTGATTGTTAAAAGCTTCCATCTGTAATGTTTAAATCTAATTATTTTATCTATTAAAACATTTAAGATCCCTGATAATGTGTTTAAGTGTGTTTTTTAAATGCTGTTTAAAATCTCAAACAACCTTTCTTGCTTTCGCCTTTTTATTATACTTCGGTGTAAATCACTGTCGTGATTTAACCAAAGCTTTCAAATGTGTTGCTTTGTGGCATTTAAACCCAACCGTTGAGAAAGAAATTACTAAATTAACCCGTTTTTGTTTGCCTCAAAGCTAGCGCTCTAGCCTCACCTCTTGCAGCAAATTTCTTGAAGCTAGTAAAATTAGCCTGATGGGTTGAATCCTTTGTTTGTCCTGTTTTACATCATGCCGAGAACATATGCAAATGTTTTTTTTCTTAGTTTTTCATGAGTTTATTAGCCTTTTGGTGTCTGACCCCAAATAAGGAAAGATCCTTCAGATTGCTAATAGTTAATGGATGAGAACCTGCTGGTGACATTGGTAACTATAGATCATGGCTCTCTTTTCAGTGTTTTTTTAAGGAAGCGCTGTTACCTATCAGCAGAATATGGTTTCTTATAGCCTTGTTCAACTGTGTGGGAAAATTCTCCTCCTCCTTGAGTTACAATCTTTGAGTTATCACCCAGTTTTAGCCAAAGCAAATAACAGGGAGGCAAAGGTTTAAGTGAGAGAATACTTTAACAGATTTGAACTAATCCGACATCATACTGCATTGCGGAGGGAATTTTCTTCAGGTTTTCTCAGAGCATAACGTGCCTACTGTGACATCTTTAAACTGTCTATGGTTTGAATTTCATGGAAACTTTTTGCACACTGGGCGGCAGGTATTTTCCTGAGGGCACTTCTACGTGACAGCAGTAAGCGGTGAACCTCAACTGTAAATCTCACGCAATCACAGGTGGCTTCACTGGAAAGCTAGTAAAGTGGAAAAACCAGACCATCTCTGCTGTATGTCTACCCACCCTTCCTTCTCTAATGGTTTCTGTCATCACTGAGATAAAAAAAAACAGTAAATGCCAAATAAGTTCTGGGCTCTACTTAAAAGATCCAATGAAACCAAGGCTATATAATCCTGGAAGCATCCTATATTTAAAAAGTTCATATTCAGTTTCAGACCAAAATGAGGATTAGTTGGATTCGTTTGAAACTAAATCTAATCGGCATTTATAATAATCTGACTTTAACATCACCTAATCCAACAAGATTATGGGAAATTTGATACTCATAGATAGATATCAGCAGAAAAGGTTTAACTATGAGCATGAAAGATTAACTTGAAGTTTGCATTAGGTTAATTTGATTAGTCAGAGTCTGACCTTTATTAAAAATTTAGTACAGAAGCGTTGAAAATAGTTAAGGGTTCTTTGTGATCTTTTTAAACGTGGAATAATAAGCATGCAAATGTCAAGGCTGCAAGGAGAACTCTCCTGAGAAGATACAGTGTCATGATTGAATCTTAAAAACATCACATGAAAGAAGCAGAACATTAAACAATGTTGAATTTTTAAGATTTGCTTATTGCAATCACCCTTCTGTTGATTCTGACTAAAAGAGTGCAGCTGCCCTTTGATCAGTGGGGCCACTAAAAGGGTGATAGCCAAATACTGTAAAATCCCTTGACACTCATGAGCTATGCCAATCCTTTTGGATTCTTAGCTAAATCAAAAAGAAGAAATACACACTTCACTTCTTGCTGTTTAGATAAAGCTATTCCCATTTACTGAAAACCAACAGCAGTCCATGCAACTGGTCTAGCCACTGACTGTAATGTGACACGTAAGTATGTTTAATGTCTCTCTAGCTGCAACACAAAGGTTGCACAATTGGATTTTTTCGAACGTTACCCCAAGGTTTTAGGGACTGTGCAAATAGTGGATCTAGAAGTACAATATGAAATAAAACAGGTTGAGGAGATAAACGATTTTTGAAGAAAATTACAATTTTATTCTTAGTTATCAAATAGAAATATATTATCCTGCTTCAACCATAAATAGTGCAGTCTACCTGCAGACCAATTTCAATGAAAATCAAAAAAAAAATCCCACAATGGACTGGCGACCTGTCCAGGGTGTACCCCGCCTTTCGCCCATTGACCGCTGGAGATAGGCACCAGCAACCCTCGCGACCCCAATTGGGACAAGCGTGTCAGATAATGGATGGATGGATGGATGGATGGATGGATGGATGGATGGATGGATGGATGGATGGAGAAAAAATCATGATTTATAACGTGTTTTTAAAACAGTTTAAGGAAAAGAAGAATATTTGCAAACCAATTTAAACTGCACAAAATGAACCAATTTCAAATCAGATAGTTATTTATGAATAATCTTTGTAGTGACTATTTGTACAAAACTCAGATTCAAAACTCAAAAAACCAAAGACTTAAAGGTGATCAAAGAGTTTAACTTTAATAGTCACCTGATGCACCATGGATTCTGGTTATGTCCAAAAAGATCTAAAAAGGGTCAAAATCCAGTTCCTTGCTTGTTTTATAAAATTAAATACAAATATTTAGCAATTCCTTTGCTTAAAATAAAAATAGAATAAGTAAAAATATATTTAGCAAGATCTTTGCTTTATTTATATGCACACCCACCGACAGGGAGGGAAAAGTCGGTAAAGTGGTAAAAGCAGACCATTTCTGCTGTATGTCTTCCCACCAGAGGCGGATCTAGGGGGTGGCTACTTGGGCTTCAGCCCCTGATGTTTCCCCAAAAGCCCCGGATCTTCGCTTTTGAACTGATCTGAGTAAAATGTGAAGTACTGGAATTCCCCAGATAGTGGCAGCATGTGCAGGAAAGCAGCCTGTAGCATTACCACGCAGAGGAAGAAGTGTTTCCCTCTCGTCGTTGCCAGCTTCAGGAGTCGAGCATCTCCGCGCAGCAAATTTAAACAGGGATAGGCCAGTGGCGGATATCAATGGATATCAGAAGCTTTTTTAAAAAGCAGACAGCTGGACCACCAGCACCACCACCAGTTGTTGCTAAACAGACTGATGTCCCAGGTATGTGAAGCTTTGACTGAATCAGAGCCTTTTTTTCTCCCGGTCTGCTGTGAAATTCTGTTCCCCTATGTTCCCCTAAATCTGTCCTCTCTGTATTGGGTGTGCGCATTGGAGCCAGATAGGCGCATCTGGCGGATCTGCGCTTCTGATCCATTTCTTGGTAAAAATAACTCACAAAGATGTAAAGGTTGTAGCATCAAGTTTAAGCGACAGCTGTTGTTTAAAAAAAATTGTAAAATAAATAAGTAGACGAGGTCTTCTTACGCTGTTTTGATTTTAAAGGGCAATGTGAAATATGAGAGATTACTGGATTAAGGGAATTTTTAGTATATGACATGATATCACACATAACAATTTTTGGGAATTTGGAAACAGTTGCTCTTTATTTATGGGGGGTGTTAATTCACCTGCAAGTCTTTAACTGTGTTTATTCCTCTCTTCATCAACAACAAACTCTGTGGATTTGGAATACATTTGATCATTTTTTGCCAGAGTTATGAGAGGGAAATTAAATATTTTAGCCACCTGATATAATCCATTTCCCCATGGGAAAAAAAGAAACAAATCCTCCATTATTTTTCATATATTATGTTTGAAACATTTATTTTATATTTTGAAATCCAAAATAGTTCAAATAAATCTCACTGTTGGTTTGATGATCTTTATGAAATGTATTTTAATTCTTAATTTAAAATGTCTGGAGGAAAACATAGTCCAGTGGTTTTAGTTTGAACTTTTTTTGTAAATTGTTAGATAAATATTTAAACAGAAAATACATTTGATAAAGATCATAAAAGGGGGAACAGATTATTTCAGTCAGCTAATTAATTTTGGCAAATAATGCACACATGTCAACAAATCCACATGATTTGCTGTTGGTGAAGAGAGGAATAAGCACAGTTAAGGAACTGTGTGCTGTTTAATGTTTTAGCTGATTTTCCCATTTCATTTCATTGTATTTATTATATTTTTTTTATTGTTCTCTTATACGGTATTATTTTATGATTTTGTTTATTTTATTATGTATTTTATATGTGCAACACTTGGTCAACATGTTTGTGTTTTAAATGTGCTATATAAATAAAGTTTATTGGGTTGGATGAGACGGTTCTCAACGCCTCTCTGCTTGCGTAAATTGAAGTACACACAAATTTTGGTTTTGTGTGCGAGGCGGCAAAAAAAAAAGACGAAAAAAAGGAGTCAACATCTGCACCCTCAGGGCTAAGCCCCTGATCTCCTACAATCCTAGATCCGCCCCTTCTTCCCACCCTTTCCTTCTCTATAAATGGCAAATAAACTGCCAGCAGATTCAGAGGGCAGAGAATTCCTATTCTACCTCCCACAATGGAAGGGAATAAATTGGGACTGGCTGATATACAGCAGGTCAAAAAAGGCCATATTTTGGGCCATAATCTGGTTTTTCCGAACGTTACCCCAAGGTTTTAGGGACTGTGCAGACAATGGATCTAGGAGAACAATATGAAATAAAACATTTTGAGGAGATAAATAATTTTTGAAGACAATTACAATTTGATTCTTAGTTATCAAATAGAAATATATTATCCTGCTTCAACCATAAATAGTGCAGTCTACCTGCAAGAAAAAAATCATGATGATTTATAACATGTTTTTAAAATAGACATTTATAGACAGATATAGCTGCATCTTCTGTACATTTTCAACCACTTAGAAAAGAGGTCAGATAAAAATCACTCTTCTAAGAAAAACGTTTTCCAATCGTGAGCTAACGTCACGTACCTAAGTCACCATCACTGCATTAGTATCCATAAAATGAGACATTGTTAGATAATTGTAAGAGCATATAGTAATTATGTTTATCTCTACAATATATATCTGATTAGAATTTAGTTATTGAAATATACTGTTTATTTTATTAAGCATTTTGTTGTATTTTGTGGTTATATCACTTAATAAGGCTCCTTTTAATCTCCTGTGTTTAGTTAAGGTCACATGCACAGTTTTTCTTTAGTGGTGCGCATGGCAGCGCTTTAGAAGTTTACTACTGTGACATCTGACACTGACAACATCTTTAAATTGTCTGTGTTTGAATATTTTAGAAACCAAAATGCAAATTGTACACTCAGGGCTGCAGGTATTTTCCTAAGGGCACTTCAACGTGACAGCTGTAAGCAGGAAACCTGTCAGATTGCAAAATAACACGGAATCACAGGTGGCTTCACTGTAAAGTCGGTAAAGTGGTAAAAGCAGACCATTTCTGCTGTATGTCTTCCCACCCTTTCCTTCTCTATAGATGGCAAATGAACTGCCAGCAGATTCAGAGGGCAGAGAATTCCTATTCTACCTCCCACGATGGAAGGGAAAAAATAGTTAGGGACTGGCTGATATACAGCAGGTCAAAAAAGGCCATATTCTGCTGTGCTTGCTGTGAAGTCGAGACAAGATCAACTAGTGCACTAAATTCAATACATGGGATGAAAATATCCAACATAAAATACAAAAAGTTTTATGAAAGTTTTAGAAGGCATGAAAGGAACTGTGCAATTCAATTCATTCAATTCATAGTGCACTTTTGTGGACAATAACTGTTAGTGTAGGATGATAATGACTAAGGCCATGACAGTGATCCTGGCTCTACTTTCTAAATCCCCAGCTGGCCCCATGACAATGTTCACACTAAGACACTGCATTGATAAATGAATAATCTATAAAGTTATATTGTTTACAGGGTTTTTCCACCCTCATCCTCGAGACACAATGGCCTGCATGTCTTACATGTTTCCCAGCATCAGCAAACCTGATTTCAGCTGATGGTTGATTAGCTGGCTCTCATACAAAAACTGCAACTGCCTGAATCTGGGTTGATGAATCAAAGAAATGTTTGAAACATGAGGGTATTAGAGAGTTAAATGACAATGCATTAGTTAATGATGCAGGGGGAAAGAGTTAGACCTGTTGTCTGCAACCTGAAGGGATTTTTCCAGATATTTGATCAATAATGATGCAAAACAAGTGATAATTTACCAAAATACTTATCAAAGTCAAAAGTCAAAAAGCCTTTATTGTCATTATATTCTGCGACAGATACAATGAGATTTGGGAATGGAGAGCCGTAAGCCGCTGCGTCCGTGCGCGCCGCCATCAGCTAAATGCATCAGATTTGCAAAACAAAATGGTTTTGATTCTGCTCAGGGCAATGGACTATTTCTCTGACATCCAAAGTGAAAATGACACTCACCTTCACACAGACACAAAAACGCAGCTCAGACATGCATAACATGGTCACATATAAATATATTACATTTATAACTTACAAATAAACACCCATGCTGAAAATCAAATTGACCGCCGACAATTTTAAAGATGCTCTGGCACAAGCTGCACTTTATTTAAACAATACATGCTGCTTTTCTATTTACATATTTTTCTTTCACGGATGTAAATATTTTCCATAAGCTCTTTCAAATTTTTCTTTAAAGGAGGAAGAGTGTTTAAGATTTTAAAGTTTGTTTGCTAAGCTTTTACTGTGCACCTGTGCATTTGTGCTGCTATAAGCTGTGCACAGATAATGTTGTTTATAAAGCTTTTTGATTTTTTTTTTTTTATAAATGCAGAATAAAAACAACCAAAATGTCAAACTGACAATTATTGGCACCTTAACTCTATTTTGCATTATTTTTAGTATTTAAAACTCAAGCTCCAATTTACACGGATTTTTCTTTGGAACAGCTGATTTAGATTCTCTTTTATTAACTTAATAGTTCAAACTGTACAAAGAAAGGTGCTTGAACCAAGAAACTGTTTTTACTCAGTTACTAAAATATTTGTTGGTTGTTACCTTGGATTAGAACATCTCTGCTCATACAGACACAACACAGGCTGGTTTATGATTAAATTCCCACCATTAAGTTTAAAAACTGCTTTGCTCTATTGGGAGTATGACTGCTGAAGCAGAACATTTAAAAAAAAAAAAGATCCTTGCAGAAAGCACTAGCAACACCTGTTTGGCAGGAAGATAAAATGTCTTTCAATTTAATTCATCAATGTTCTTCCGCATACCCATCGGGTCATGGTGGGGCTGCTGGCTATATCCAGAAGTCTGTGGGTGTACCCAGAGAGAACCCACACATGAAAAGGGAGAACATGCAAACTCCATGCATTCAGATCCTAAGCCAGGAATTTAACCCAGGACTTCAAGGCACTAGTGTTATAAACTAGTGCAACTCGGATTCAGTTTAATTCTCCCTGTCCTCATCACTCGTCGGCTCCTGTTTGTTTTCATCAGTATCCTCGTTTTGTTCTTCAGAAAAGAGGCGATCCAGTGGGCTGGCTTGCTTCTCTGGTCCATCCATGCTCATTTTAAATAAACTGTCTTTATAAATTCTTCGTCTCTTAAATTAAGTCAAAAATATGTAAAATTCCTATATTATAAATGTATATTCACTTCATGCAGCTCTCTTATTATATTTTTATCCCTTGCCCTGTTTTTTTATTTCATGCTTTTCTGGGCCCCCATGAAAACACGCTGCCCGCCTCCTGGCCCCCTGGTACATTTGGTTTAGATCTGCCACTGTTCCTCCCCTTCACTAGACCTGGATATACTTAAGTATATTCTGCTGTAAAATTAGTCCTATATTTTAGTTTTTTACTCGAGGATTGAACCTCTGCCGTTTCACAGGATGCACAGCTTTGAGTGGTAACTAGGCGACTGTCTGAGAGTAAATCGAAACTTATCGGACTAATCCAACCAGCTCTCTGACAACCAGTTGCCTGGAGCACTCACTGAACAGAGCATCGCTTTGGACAGATACGCTGCACAAGTTTCACAAGCATCTTGGGGCCCTAAGCAACCACCTAGTATTGCCTAAAGATAACTTCACCGCTTATTTAGTCTTATCAAACATTTTGATTGGATGCAGTAAAGAGGAAGAAGATTACATGACTTCCACACATAAAAATTGTTGTAATGATAAAGAAAAAAAAACAGTATGTAATATATAGAAATTATATAGTTTTGTTATTGCCACATTGCCAGACAGGACACTGTAAAAAAAAAAAAAAAAAAAAAAATTATATAGTTTTTATTCAAAATCCAGGTAATTAATTTTTATAAAGCTGAAAGCAAAGGTCGTATTTGTAAAAAAAAATTATAAACAAAATCTGGAAGAGAATACAGAAACATTTCTGCTGCCTTTACGATTTCAAGTCCACTGATCACCATCAATGGAGGAAGCTTGGAACCACCAGCATTCATCCAATAGCTAGGTAAACTGAACCAAAGACTTGGCTACTTTTAGGGGGAAAGACTGCAGGCATCCAGTCAAAGATGAGGCTTTACTTGTCCCTTTTTTCTTTAATAAGGTTCTGTTCATGATTACAGTTCCTTTGTGCATTTTGTTTAAATATCGCAAAAATGAGAAAATATACTAATTAGGACATGAATTATAAACCTGCACAATGTACTTATGAATATTCTACCATCTCTGCATAAACTTACAGTGAACTTTAACATAGTTTCCATGTTAACATGCAATATCTTACAGTGAAATAACTAATTGCAACCAAGATCAGTTATTAATTTTAAGCTAGATTAATAGATTAATTCAAGAGTATCAACTCTTAAAAGTTATCTAATTACAGTTAGCTGCACACACCCACAAGGCTTAGGTTAGACAAATTAAAATTACTGATAAGTCCAGGTTTGCTCTTTCGCAATCTTTTGCCCTCCTTCACCATTCTGTGCTTCTGCTCTTGTAAGTCCCAGAATACTGCAGTTTTGATTGGTAGATATTAATTATGATTGGCAGGTGAGTTGCAAATGCTAGATCAGCCTCTGATGCTGAAGATAACCAATAACACCACAGCCACCCTGTCAGAGCTGCAAAAATTGCACAATAGAAAACTTTCGAAACTAGACCCAAGGTCGGAACTCTATGTCAGCAAGAAATTGGAAGTACAATGATGGCATGGAACATGTTAAAAAGATCAATGATTTTTGAAAGACCAAAATTACAGTTTTAGTCATAATTATTTAATAAACTAGAAACTGAAGTATATGTTACTTCAACCATAAAATAATAAAAGGCTCAGTCTTCCTGCAGACCAAAAAAAAAAAAAAGACAAAAATCAGGCTTTAGAATACTTATGTATTGTTTTAAGCAGTTTTTAAACAAGAAACATATTTGCAAACATATTAAAACTGCACAAAAAACACTATTACTGTCCAAAGAAACAATCATTAAGTCACGTTATTAATTAGATTGTTAAAGTTGAAGTACTTGATGAGCTGTTATGAAGGCTTGTTATGGATTCTAAAATAAACATAATATTTAGCAATGTATTTACCCCATCGTTAAATAACACACAATATTTTTCTATTTGTGACTTATAACGTGTTTATAGCTTTACCAAGCTGTTAATTTTTCATAAAGACCTGCCCGATATATAACTTCTTTGCACATTTCATATTTACTGTCTTTGCCTTATTTATATGAGTAGCTCTCATCATCATATTCCAGCTCGACATCATCTTCATCCAGAAGGCCGTACTTAAATTTCCGATACACTGTTCCATCTTTAGTCATGTAAACAATGTCCTCATCGTCGTACTCCTCATCATTGTTCTCATGCTCAGTGATTCTGTCACTGTAGTCCCCAAAGGAAGAGGCAGTGGGCTGCTGTGGACAGTCATCGTTAGTTTCTAGTTTCTGATACCCCCCAGCTGTGGTTTTGGGCTTGACAGTGGGCCACTTGGAGCAGGCGGTGAGGAGAAGGAAGATCCCTAAACCCAGAACAAGGATGATCATGACGAAGGCTATGACAGTGATCTTGGCACCGCTCTCTAAATCCTCAACTGACCCCATGACGAAGTTGACACCAAGGATGCACTGGACTGAAAAAGAAGAAGTATATTTATAAGGTTACATTAGGGCAGTGTTTCTCCATCAGGATCCACAAAGCACACTATTGTGGATATTTTAAATGTTTACCATCATTAGCACACATGATTTAAATTGAAGACTGGATTTTACAAAAACAGAAAAACATCAACTGTCTAAATCTTGGTCAATATTCCAAAACGTAGCCATCTAGATAATGCATGAATGGAAATGTCATATACGGTACTTGTAGAGCTACATGTAATAATGTACATAAGCTATATTTCTCCCAGATTTTAGTAAAGTTTACAAGGGTGGATTGTAAAAGTTGCTGAGCCCAAGGCTTAGACGAAAAAAAGTTAATTGACCTGAAAAAAGAAAAAGCCTAAATCTTGAAACATTTACTAATATTTTCTCTTGAAAGTTTATGCATCATTTAAATGGATTATTTTCTTGAAACAGCCCATTTAAACTCCTATAATCTCAAAAAGTACAAAGAAAAGTACTCAAACTAAGAAGTTTCAGTTACTGATATCCTTGTCAGTTGTTAACTTGAATCAGCACCTCCCTGTATGACTGCTAAAGGAGAAAAATAAAAATAAAAGATTCTTGCAGAAACCACCAGAAACACCAGTTTGGCAAGAAGATCAAATATTTGTGATGTCTTACAACATTTTTGGGGGATGCAGTAAAGAAGAAGGTAATTGCAAAAGCGTTTAAAATAAATAAATGATTTCCAAAGATTAAATTAACTTCAAGATTAAAGAAAAAGAATTGCAGTATCATAGGCATGCAGTACTGTGTTTTGTTTACTTCGCGATGCCTCGCAGTCACAGCACTCTCTGTGTAGCGGTGTATCATCACGTGGTGTCTTATTTCCACAGCAGCTCAAGCAGCGGCCATCATCTGAGAGAATCTTGCTGGCGGGGCACAGGGTGCACTGCCACATGCTGGGGCCCCAGCAGCCCTCACATGATGGGTTACATTTTCTGCAGTCTGGGTCACTATGCTTTGGAACCTGAAGGAATAAAAGTCACTCCATTTATATACTTTTTTTTTAAATTCCATTTTTGTCAGTGGAGAAATATGTAGTTTTGAGTCTTCTTTTTTCAGGTCCCTTAAATGTTGTCTCTGGACTATGGCTGCCTTTTCTCTATAGGCAAAAAAATAAAAAATAAAAGCTATAGGCAGGGGTAACTAATACTGCACATCACCCTGAAAACATCAACACAAAGTTAAAAGTTGGAGGCAGAAAAATGGTGTGTCTATGCTTGACTAATAATGACTAAACTGGTCACAGTTAAAAGGAAGATAGATGGAGGTAGTTAAATAAAAACAAAAGCTATTTAGAGGTGGAAAAAGACTTTAGACTCTTTTCTTGCAAGTAGTTAACTCACTAGCTACACGGGAATGTTTTAAATTAAAATATATTTACATATTAGAATGGTCCAGTCCCACCATTTGGCACGATATAAAAAGATCATCTTGCAGATGATGTTAATATTTTTGTCTCTAGCTGTGCTTTAATAGAGCCCTCCTTACATCTATACTAGGGGTCACCAACATGGTGCCTGCGTTTACCAATGGGCCCTCAGGGGCCCTCTTCTGAAAGCAGCACAGCTCACCAGTAGGCTAAGATTGAAATCTTTATTTTTTTTTCTGGTAAGGGAGGGAAGGAGGGAGGGATCAGTGTTCAGCTTAACTTCAAACATAATAAACATATTTTCATTGCTTCTTTGAACTCCTGATTTTATTATTTTATTATTATATTGTGTAGGGGGAAAAAAGTATTCAACTATTCACCCTAGTTAAATAAACGTAGGTCGATGAATTTCACTCAATCTGCACTTTATTTTCATATCTTTGCAAAGAGAGAACAGTTCATCATATGGCCCTTATGGCACAGTAATCTGCCCTGTTCTGATCTAGACAGAGTTTTTCTCCCTTACTTATAGTGAGAAAAGGCTGTGAAGGTTGTGGCAGAGTCAAAACAAATTTCAAACAGCAGAAATTTTTGAGAAAGCAGCTGTTATGAAGAACATATTTGAGTAGCAAGGATACCCATCCTCCTGGATTAATGAAGTCAATGAATCAGCACTAAAAGA